TACTGCATTGTGACAGTACAATACAGGATTCATTAGAGTTATACTAAAATGTGGATCATGCCCAATTTTTCTGAATGTTTAATGCATGCATACAAGCCTCAACATGGTGTCAGTGTGCACGCTGATGTATTCTACAGCTTGTGATTATTGTTTCAGCCCAATAGAAACCTCATATAAGATTGATTTGACTTGTGCTTTTCTCCCGTATAGATGTAAATACTGTGACCGTTCATTCAGCATCTCCTCCAACCTCCAGCGACATGTGCGTAACATTCACAACAAGGAAAAGCCGTTCAAGTGCCACCTTTGCAATCGCTGCTTCGGTCAACAGACCAATCTGGACCGCCACTTAAAGAAACATGAACATGAGAATATTCCAGGTAAAATCAGGTTCACTTTACTCTAAATAATTTCTAATCATTTAAATATATTTTCATTTGGAACTCAAATCTAAGATGCTTTTATTGATTTATTGATTTATTTACTTACTTATTTAAGATAAATTGTACCAAAATGTATATGACTGTATTATTTTCATGATTTTCTTTTTTATTTATTTACTTTATTTACTTAGCATTAAGTGATTAATGCTAAAAAAAAAAAAATACTTAAAATAAACAAAATAAATAAATGTGCAGATGTTAAGTAAGGGATAATGTACATCCAGCCGGTTGTTATCTCAGAATAAACCCCGACAGGGTGATCAGGAGGGGATTTGTATCAGCCTGAAGTGGTTTATTCTGAGATAACAACCGGCTGGATGTACATTATCCCGCTTATTACACGGCTACTTGTCTCAAGTAAATTAGACACAAAATATTGACTTGAGTTGAAATATTTTATTAACTCTTACGCAAAGCTTCCGCGAAGAAAAATAGTTCCTAACAAACTGCTTCGAGCCTTTTGAAGTCAGACAATATGAACATTTAAGGCATAATGTACAGTCGTATCATTAATTACAATAAACCATATATGGTTTATATGGTACCTGGGTTGTTTTTACCATATATGTTTAAATTAATGCTGAAGTCTTCCATTGTAACACGCGGTGGTTAAGTGTTTTCAGTCACAAGATGGCGCCAGACAGTCTACGAGTGACTCGTTAAGCATATAAGTAGTGCCGGTCAAGATAACTCGTAGTACCCGGATGAGCGGTGTGTTATTCCATTTGGCGGTTGTTATCTGGGAGTAACATACCGCTGGATGGCGCGATTGACCAATCAGAATCAAGTATTCCACAGAGCCGTGTAATAATATATAATAAAGTTAACACTTTAGTAGGGACCAGTTCTCACTATTTAGTTGCTTATTAGCATGCATATTATTAACATACTGTATTGTCTGTTTATCAGTACTTATATAGCACATATTATGCATATTATGTATGTATATATTCTACATCCCTAATCCTACCCAATACCTAAACTTAACAACTACCTTACTAACTATTAATAAGCAGCAAATTAGGTGTTTATTGAGGCAAAAGTCCTTGTTAATAGCGAGAATTGGACTTTAAAATAAAATGTGACCATAAAATATAAGTGACAGATGCAACCTTATAAACTACAGTTGTATTTGTTTAGATATCTAACTCACTCTTTCTTGTTTAATAAGTTTAGTAAATAATGTATTAATCTATATATTTTTCTACTTATTTGTTGTAGTGAGTCAGCAGTCTGGGATCCTCTCGAATTTAGGAACAAATATTTCCTCACCGAACTCTGAGTCTGACAATCATGCACTTTTGGATGAGAAGGAGGACTCGTATTTCTCAGAGATTAGGAACTTCATCTCCAAAAGTGAGCTGAACCAGGCCTGTAGCTCCTCGGAGAAAAGGTACGAGCTCGCACACACGCACAAACACACACATGCACAGAATATATTTTGAAGCTATGGCAACAAACCGCATAACCTGCTGAAGTTACAGTCTGTCCTCTAGTGGAGAACTGTGGTACTGCTGGGCCAGCCGCGTGTGTGTGGCGGCACCCATTACAGGCTTCGCCTTCAGTCGGGACATCTCAATGAGTCATTTCACCTTGTTGAGTTCTGTTCTGCATTAAGCACAGCCAGATACACATCAGGGAGCACATTCCATCGGCTTATGAAAACACCAAACAAAAGCTCATTACTGCCAAAGTCATGAACCGTCAGCACGACTGTCGGTGTGTGGCCAGGTTCACGTTGCTTCAGAGTTTGGTTTAGGTGATTCACACAGACAAATGCATACAAACAGATACATGGCCGAACACATGCATTATTGTTTAGACGCGTAATTGGTCCTCCTCAGTTTTTCGGTTCCTCCACACTCCAGCAGAGACCCGATGCCTCTGCCTCGTCGCATGGGCCGAAACCTCACACTGCCATCTGGGATCAATAGTCCTGTCCTGACTCGTAAAAGCAGGCCTGGCATTTTAATATCTGTAATTCAAATAAGTGCTCTGTTTTGTCTCCCTGCAAATCAGCCTCACAGAAACACCCGCTTCGAATGGACAGGCAGCTGCAACATTCCCCTCTGCGCTCATGCGTCGTATTTCATGACGTTTGCCCGTTTCTCTCTCGCCTTCTGTCACTCTTGTGCAGCCAGTCTGCATTCACGGTGGAACGTTTTTTCTACTAATTTCTCCTTCAGTCTTTTTGGTTACACTTTATTTCGATAGTCCACTTTACACATTCTACTAACTATAAAAAACTTTGTAACTACATGTTAACTACATGTCAACTAATTCTCATTAATTTGCAACTACATGTCTACTAACTCTCAGAGTAGACTGTTAGGGTAGGTTTAGGGTTAGTAGAATAAGTTGACAAAGAAAGTGTTAGAAGATATTAAGCAGACAGTCTACTAATACTCTACTAACTGCTAGTTGACATGTAGTTGCAAAGTTACTTACTGTTAAATGTCTAAAGTGGACTATCGAAATAAAGTGTTACCGTCTTTTTTACTCCGTAGGAAATGATACAACATGTCATATCTCATTTGTTTCTCCTATAAAGCAATGAGATTAACAACCTAAAAATGGTGAATTTTGTAAAGTCTCCTCCCTTTTAGGTTTTTCTCCTGTGAAAAAGATTCAAATCTCGCATTTACTTCTTCTTGCGTTTTTAGAAGCTATCCCAATAATGCCTTAAACATTAATGAGACATAACTGAGAAGTCAATTATCTGAGCTATACTAGTATCCACATTCGTTCCATCGCTCTGTATAAGCGGGGACTCGGCGGAAAGTTGCTTTTAAAAGTAATCCATTACAATATCGTGTTACTCCATAAAAAGTAACTTATCGTTTCTTTTTATAGAAAGCAGTGTATTGTTACTTTTGCATTACTCTTTGTGACCTGAGCTGGGCTTGCTTATTTATTTTTAACAAAAATCCAAAACTTATATTTTTGGCAACTTTAAAGGCCCTTTCACACCAAAAGTGAAATGAATAAGCCTCAGGCTGAAGGAAGAAACTCTGCACCTCACTCCAGATTTCTGACAGGAGAGATGTCAGTGAATAAATTGGAAAACCAAGTAACTTGCGATACTTGCGAAAAGGTAACTTTAAAAGTAATCCATTACTTTACTAAAAAAGTAATCTGATTACGTAACTCCCCCAACACTACTGATGGCAGCAGTTGTCTCATTTAACCTTATTTGTATTTCTCCTGTACAAGGCATTTTCAGAGAAACATTTAAGACATAGTCGATGCTCAAATGAGATGCGAAAATTAGAAAATATGTGTTCTAGAAACACTTTTTTTAAAAGAATGGCCCCTTATGCTTTCACTGCACGTCAACACTTTTTACTCCCAAGGAATGTTAGGAGAAACATCTGAGACAAAGTCGATACTTAAATGAAGAACTTCATTAAATCTAATGAGCTATGAAAGAGAAATTCAGGTACTCTTCCTTTCTTTTCCTCCGTGAATGGAAAAAGTGGGAAAAGACGTGTGATCTGCTCTCCCGGACTTGCATGATTTCCCTGCAGCTGGGTTAATAGTGTTTGAGACTGAGTTTGACTGTCAGTCTGTAGGGGGCTTCAGGTTTAGCTCTATCAGGGGACCCTCAGACTGAGACATTTATCTGTGCGCTGCATTGACGGACCCCCCTTCCTCACAGCTAACGCAAACAGCGCTCTGACATGTTTAGACTGAGAGACAAAGCGCAGGTCTGTGGCAGGACTGCTGCTGTCTCCCACGTGGCATGGACTTTCTCTCAGGCCAGGGCAAATTTGATTATGGGATATTTAAGCATGATGGAAAATGGGAAACAAGCAGTTCTTCTTGTTCCCTTTTTTTTTTTCGTTTTTGGTAAGTCTACACCTCACATAGCTTAACCACCCACCTTACGACCCCCTCCTCCTTCCACTCGACATTCGTCTGGCTCAATAGAAGTCAGTTTCAGAGCGTTGAAGTCAAAGCGACTTTGGAGGAGTGCGCGCAATGATATCATAAGCTGAAAGGTTTGGAAAAAGAGAGGTAGTGGAACGGCGCGGTGCTGATAGCTGCTTTGCAGAACAAGCGTTTTCTCTGGAACTCGGTGGCAATGAGACAAACCATGATGATTGCTCGTGACCTGTCTAGCTCGCTCTGTCTCGCCTCTCTGAAATTAGCCAATTCATCATTGCCACGCTCGCAAGAAACGTCTGTCATTAATTGCAAAATCGGTGTGTTTGTCATTCGTGGATCTGTGTTTTCGAGCTCCGGCCAGGCAGGGGAATTACTACCCAGTCCGAAATGATGGATGGCAACCCAGAGAGCAGCACAGCACTGATATTTGGCAGTCAGATTATGATGAGAGAATTACCACAATGGACTCTACGGGTGAAAATAGCTTATTATTTGATCCGGTATTTTGGGAGGTGTAGTTAGATGTCATAGTTGTCTCCATTGCCCAAGGACATAAAAACTCATCGCCAGCGGCCATTAGAAATGTGGTTAAGGAAGTTCTCAAATGTGCAACCACATAAAAAAAGGGGTATGACAAATGAAAGGGTTTTTTTAAGTTTAATTCCCAAGTTGGTTGAAACTCGGATGGGAAAAAGCAAGATGATAGCTATGAACATGAAAAATAATCACTGAAATGCAGACAAGAAGACATAAGACGGGAGACTTCACTCTTGAAAGTAAAGGTGCTTCACGATGCCATAGAATAACCTTTTTGTCTAAATGGTTCCATAAAGAACCTTTAACATCTGAAGAACCTTTCTGTTTTTCACAAAAAGTTCACAGAAGGTTCTTCAGATTATGAAAAGGTAAGAAAGATGTGGTTCTTTAAAGAACCTTTGACTGAATGGTTCTTTGTGGAACCAGAAATGGTTCTTCTATGGCATCGCTTGAAGAACCTTTTGAAGCACCTTTATTTTTAAGAGTGTTCCTTCTGCCAGGGATATTGTTTCCCTCAAAAAAAAAAAAAAGGCCATTATAAGAACTGAGTATTTTAAAGGGGACACATCATGGGGAAAAAAAAGTATTTTTCTTTTTATATAAGACAGTATGATGTACTCATATGAACAATCCACCTGCACAATTTATGGAATTTAAACTGCAAAATGGGTCATTCAGAAATCACATTGCAAAAAATAATTTCCATTCATTCATTTTCAAAAGCGTGTTGGTTCTGTTTTTCATGGCAACTTCTAAGGATCATTAAAATGAAATACATTTACATTTAAAAAAAAAAAAAAAAAATCAGATTTCTGATTATCTGAAAACATATTTTGGATTAGTCATGACAAAAATGCTGATTAAGAAAAAAGATTTTTGCTGTGACCTTTCCTGTTTACATATCAGCAAATATTTAGTATTCAAAATCCAAGTATTCAAATTGGTATTTTTACTCATTTTGTTTGCAAAGAGCTTCTCCAGTAATAACAGATGTTGTTTACATATAGAGATGTTAAAAGTACAGTAGTAAAATCCGCCTGTTGAATTCAAAGCATCGAAATGATGATGGAAATGGTCATATGTAAAACTAAATGACGACTGTTTGCATTACAGGTCAGAGTTGACGGAGGAGGAACAGCCTCAGAGTCACGCTCACACCACCTCAAAACTGGAGGAGGAAGATGAGGAGATGGAGGGAGATGATGAAGACGAGGAAGGCTCGTTGACAGAAAAGTCGCAGGACGAGACGGCCTCTCCCGCCACTATGGTGCAGGGCACCTACGACGAGGACGAGGAGCCGACCCCTCTCCCTATGCCTTACGAACACACGCGCAGGTCAGCCGAACACATCTGTCTGTTTACTGGAGAAGAGCTTAAACTGGCCAACTCTCACCTAAATGAACACTCAAACTTGCAAAAGATACACAATTCTAATCCTACCTTTCTATTATTTGTAAAAAAGTCACGTTTTTTAAATAATTTGACTGCAACATGTAAAATAAAATAAGAAAGAAGAAGAAACAATAAAATCAAGCAATAAATGTTGACTTTAAGAAAGTTGTATGAGTAGCGTAAGCTATATTATTTATCATTAACTAAATTTGCAATCTGGCTTTTTAATAATATGTATATAAACTGTATGTACACTACTAGTAAAAAATGTGAAATAATAAAAAAATATATAATGTTGCTGAAAGAAGTCTCTTATGCTCTCAAGGCTGCGTTTATTTAATCAAAAATACAGTAAAACAGTAATATTATGAATTATTACCATTTAAAAGAACTTTTCTACCGTCATGTATTTGAAAATTAATGTATTCATATTATTTAGAATTGATATAAAATGAAATATATAATGATAATTTATTCCTGTGATAAACAAGGGTGCATTAAATTGATCAAAATTAACAGTAAAGGCATTTACAATGATACAAACCATTTCTATCTCAAATCAATTCGGTGAAACTTCAATTCATCAAAATACTAAAGAAGTATCGTGATTTCCGCAAAAATATGCAGCACAGCTTTTTTTCAACATTGATAATAATAATAATAATAATACATATTTCTTGAGCAGCAAATCAGCATATTGCAATGATTTCTGAAGGATCATGTGATTGTAAAATATATTAAAATTAGTGCTGTCAAACGATTCATCGCAATTAATTGCATCCAAAATAAACGTTTTTGTTTACATACTATATGTATGTGTGCTGTGTGTATTCATTATGTATATATAAATACACACACATACAGTATATATTTATTATATATAAATATATTTAATATATAAACAGCATATTTTTATTAAATATATGCATGCATGTGTTTGTATTTATATATACATAATAAATATACACAGTACACACTCATATATTATGTAAACAAAAATGTTTATTTTGGATGCGATTAATCGCGATTAATCGTTTGACAGCACTAATTACAATTTTATTTTTTAATAGTTTTTGCTGTATTTCTGATTAAATTAATGCAGCATTTGTGAGCACGAGATACTTTTTTTCTAAAAAATAATAATAATAATAATTATTATTATTCCAAACTTTTGGCTTACTTATAACCTTGTAAAGTTACATTTTATAAAGCGAAAAGGATTCCGTTTTGGTTGAGTGTTTATTTAAGATCAGAAGTTGTAGAGAACGAAAATTGATCGTATATAACATCGTTACCAAGCAACAGAAGTACAATGGGCATTCAACACTACAGATCTGTTCCAAAACCCAGTGAGCTGCAGAGCTGTTCCTGAAGGCATAACTATACGTATCTTTGATCAAGCAGGCAATCCCAGAATGCTGAGTTTCTGCCTACTGTATGTTGAATGTTCTAAATCAATTCAGAATGCTGCCTTAGAAGGCACAAGGAAGTTCCCTAAGCAGACAGCAAGACAGCTCACCAGATTGTGGAACAGAGTGTCTGTGGAACACTGCTCGTTGTAGCCGTTAGATGTTGTTGAATCGACATTCATTGTTTCACATAATGTTTGCTGCCGTGATCCCTCATTGTCTGTCAGTCATCTTAAACTAACACAACTAATCAGCATCTAGTCATCTGTCTGTTTAATCATTGAAACTTTGGCTTGCCAAAACAAAGAAAACAATCAATTTTGCACCCATACGGGTCAATAGAATTTTAAAAAGCATCCAGTTCTATTGCATTTCTGTTCTCTCCTTCACTGTCCTCATCCTAAATAGAATTTCTGCTGGAATGCCACTGGCATCTAAATGTTTCAATGATCAGTATTCTGTGGGATATTTTATTCAAGTGCAATGGACGCTTATTCCGTTTTTCCCAGCATCCCGTTCAATTCTGCATGGACAGAGAGACGGATAGAGTTCTTGAAATTGAATGTCCATTCGTTTCGTGCTTTCGTCTGCTAGTGTGATGACCACTTATATTTTCCATGTTCTGCCACCATCCCATCCACTGCATGCTCCTCAAATGCATCCAGTTCCAATATTTAGATTGCGGTTGTTGGGCTAACTGAGGGTCCCTCCCCTCTCCACACCCCTCCCTATCCCGGTACAGGTGTATTGAGGAGGATGCAGGCCTGTTAGATCTGGAACCTCTGGCTGGTTTCCCCAAAGGCCTGGAGTTCCATAAGGCTGGCGAGGAGCCCTATGACATTAAAGACATTTTTAGCACCTCGGTAGAGTCGGAGGCGCTGAAAGAAACACTTTTCAGGCAGGCTAAAACACAGGTATGTGACCTGCTCCAGAGAGCTGCTACCACGCCAGCGTCAAGAGAAGGAAAGAGAGTCAAAGAGCATCTTATGAATATGGACAAAAAAAAGTTATTTTTAGTTTTGTCAAACTTCCAGAGCTTCCCAACCAGGGGTTTTGTGGTAGACTGTGACAGAAATGTTCAAAAATAATAATAATTTAATGAAATAGCATATTTTGAGTAGTCAAGTTGAGTATATTATTAGCATATGTATACTATAATGAATAATAATAGATTTAGTTTTTTTTTTGTTTGTTTTATATGTACACAGAGCTGAGTAGATTACCGTATTGTCCCGAATATAAGACGATATTTTTTTCTTGGAAATACATCTGAAAAAACGCGGTCGTCTTATATTCAGGGTCTAGACTTTGACATGTCAATAATTTTGGTTTTTAAAAAGCCTTTTTCCAAAAGGTACATCTGAAAAAGGGGGGGTCGTCTTATATTCGGGCCAATACGGTACTTACAAATTGTAGTCTGTTACTGATTCCAAATTACATGACAAAAATTGTAGTTAGTAACGTAATCATTACACATTTTAGGTAACATAAGACTATCAGACTACTTAATAAGACTACTTTTTGATTTCTTTTAGATTACTCGTTTATCCCGTTGCTTTAAATAGGATAATTTTGTACCGTATTGATATAAAAATACAAAGAGAAAGACAATGTATCCCATTCATTGTTATTAACAACATGACGTGCATTAAACTTTACATTACATCAAGGTTTCTTAAACTGGGGTTTGTGAGTTTAATGAAAAGCTAATAAGTAATTAAATCGTAAAATTCAATTCAATTAAATGTATTTGTTTGCTTGCATGTCATATGACCATTAACCAACGTCAGAGTTCTTCGAACATGCAAATGTGATACTTAATTATTAAAATATTCATTTTAAAATATGAGGGGTACTTCAAGTAAATATGTTATTCATTATAGTATATACACATGCTAATAATATACTCAACCTGACTACTAAATATTTAGTATAAACTCTATATATATATTATAATTAGTATAAACACACACACACACACACAAATTAAGTATATTTACGGAAAGGTTAAGGTTTCTTTAAAATTTAGATTGTAGATTTAAAATGTGCAATTTTTGACTGAAACGGTTGGGAATTCCTGCAATAATCGATGCAGGGGGGAAAAAAATATAATAAAACTACATGCAGATTTTGCACTGCCTTGTCATTTTTTATTTTGTTTTAGAAATAATATTTTCAATGTTCAAAATATTAACTGAATGGCATTAACATAACTAACACTATTATCTTTCTGTTTCATTTATAACTTTATACTGTCCTCTGGTCTCAGCATTTCATGTGGACTTGTTACATGTCTTATATGTGTGTATCTTAAATACAAGTTAACGGTTGTCCTTTAATATTGTGCATCGACAGGAAAAAGTCTGCTTTTGAATTCCTCCTTACATTTTAAGAATTCATATCCAATTTATAAGAAATAATTTCAATAATTTCTAGTTTATTTTGCATTGTTTCCGAATGCTGTTATTTTGTTTTCTGTTGAGCATTCAATAAGCAGCTCAAAATAACATGCATGCGGATTTGAAAAGAGTAAATAATGACTGATAAACTGTCTATTTATGAGTACAGAACATGCTAGCTTCTGAAATGCACAGACCCTAATTAACAGATGATGAATGTTTTGGCTTTGCGATTGAACTGTCCTCCTTTTCTCCATCCAGGCTTATGCAATGATGCTCTCTCTGTCTGAGAACACCAATCTGCATTCATCCTCCCAGAACTCCTTGGATGCCTGGCTCAACATAGGAGGAGGGCCGTCGGAGACGAGCTCCTTTCACCCCCTCAACAACATCTGAGAACACCAACAAGATAAAGGAGAGATGGAGGGAGAAAGGAGGAGAGGGCAAGAGACCAACATGAAGATGTGTCAAAACGAGCTTGTGAAGGCCAGCAGTGCAACAGTAGACGAAACACCACTATGCGCGCAAAGAGGAGAACGAACTGTTGAGTGAATCACAGACGGGAGAGGTATAAAAACACGAATGAACTCACCGAATCCCAGCCATACAGCATCTTTCCTGTCTGCAGCTAGCCACTATAGTGAAGTTCCCTCCTCATCAGCTGATTCAAGAGGCATTCGAATGACTCTCAAATCACTTCTCCACCTCATTTTCAATGATATGCATTTCATAGAGACTGCTCTCAAGGGGTTTTTAACATGTTCTCGGAGAAGCCCAGGATGGCTTGAGTGGACAGAGTAGTTGAGTGTTTCTTCAACTGGAGATTTGAACCGTTTCTACTCAGCATTCCATTCTCACGTTGATTTTCTACAGCACTGTACCAAGGTTTCCTTTCTATTAACTCACAGCCGAAGTCTTACAGTAGACCATTACTGTAGACATCAAGGTTGATTTCCAATGGCAATAGAAGCACTTAAGTCTAGCCCAAAACTAGCATGCTAACTTTCCCCCGAAGGCTCAATGCCGTTTGTAAGCCACTGTCTCAAAAAGTAAATGCTGGAAGTCACCTTTGAGATTTGTGTTTGGCTGCGCGATCTTGCCTCGTCGCCAGCCGGACCTTCATATACGATAAATCACGCAGCACGGTTGTTCATGTGTATAGCATCACGGTCATTGTAATTATCGTTGTTATGGTAAGTATCTTAGCCGTTTAGTCCCAACTGAAAGTTTGTTTTTAAGAGTTAAATTATTCTCCAGTGGGGCAATTGGAAAACTTTTCTCTTTTTCTTGCATTCAGTAATATGATTTTTTTTTCTTTTTCTATGTGAATTGTTCTTCGGTAAACAGTATTGTTTCTTTTTGAGCACATCTGTGCTTAAATGTTAATATAATTCTTAGTGAAGGACCAAATTTGTACAATATTGTTGTATGATGTACAAACTAAGTTAACCATTGGTAGCAGAGAGTGTCGTGTGCCAAATAATCCCCTTTTTTCTTTGACAATCATTTTCCCGAGTGGTCGCCTCCACTGTTGGTAGTTTTTTTTTTTCTTCTCCTGTTGTTGCTACTTACATTGATGAGAGTTTGTCTTGTATTTATGTTTTTTATGATTAATGAAAAATGAAGAAAAAAATGACTTGCCCACTCGTTTGAAGGAATGAAATATCACGGAATAAATATATATCACGGAAATTCAGAATTGTTCAAGCTCTTCGTAAAGAAGCAAGTTGCCAAAATACAAAAGAATGCGTTTATATTATGAGCACATAATCATGAAGTCTGGTTTATGATGCATCTGTTCAACCATCTAGAAAAGTAGGCACTGCGTGATTTAAGAAAAAAAGAAAAAAAAAACCCGTTTTGACTCAAATATCAGGTAACTCAATAGAGGGGCATTATATGTTGACATTTTTACACATTTTAAGCATCTTCATTAAAGGAAATGGGTCGACGGTGTATCTCTGGGTTCAAATCGCATGTTTTCAATGTTCCATTTGTTTGGGAAGAGCCATATACTGTACATCAGCCAGTCCTAGACATCATATCAAATTCTACATAACTCAAATACTTAATATTATGCATCCCAGAAGAGACACCAGAAGCGAGAGGGCTAAAAATGGATCATGATCAAATGGTGAGCAGCTACATTTAACGTTCACAAGAGCATGGAGAGATGCCCAAATCCACGAGTCCTCATCCAACTCCTGAACTGTGAAGCCAGCGAATGAATCGTAAACAGCTGGATGCATATCATGAATGTGTAGAGTAGATGTAATACGTAGGTTAGGAGTCAAACTTACCTTCTCTCGATTGAATGTCTTTTTGGTCAGGAACTCATACTCTCCTCACTTCTATTTGGATGATTAAGGACTCTCTGGAATCAGCACTTAAATCGAACACATACCCCTGTCTGCCTACTTCATGCTTTCCTTTACACCTTAGTACTGATTTTAATGACATTTTCTAAGCAAGGCTGGTTTTAACAAGCACTTTAACTCTTGGGTCAAACAGGCATTTTTATCAGATGCTTTCAAATAAAACAGCAAAGTACATTCAAGCGTTGTTAGAAGAACTTGTTGGTTTTGAACATTAGAAATATTGTGTTTTCACTGCGAACACAAACCAGGCAAGATGGACTTGACTGGCCTTTCACAGGGAATCCATCTGCTTGATAACACTGTGTAAAAACTTGCAGCAGTGTCGTATTTCAATATATTACCATGTGGCGCACCGTGTAATCTTACCTATCTCCTCACTATATCATTTACTCAAACCCTTGAGTAAAAAGCCTGTTTGATGCATATTGGATTGCTGGGATGTAATGGGATTATGAGTATGGAGAAGTCATGTCACATACTACTGTACTTAGCAAGCGCTGTAGGTGAAGAAATTGACCCACACTGATTAAATCATCATGGAAAATGGTCAAAAAATGAACAATGCAGATGTCCTTGGCCCACTGTTACATTGCGAAAACCATAGATAATGTGGTTTCTCTAAAAAAAAAAAAGTGTATAGTATTTCAAAAAAAGAAAAAAAGACATCGATATGTCTGAAAATTCATTTTAAACATGGGTTTGAAAATAGATGGTGCTTGTTTCATTTGGATATGAGTTGTATATTGCTTCTGTTTTGTTTATTAAAAATATTGTGCATGACTTGTGTTTTAGAGGTCATAATGGTGTCCATTTGTGAAATGTGTATCTTAAATTAAAAAGAAAAAAAAAAAGAACTTGTAGATGCACTTATTGTACATGTGGTTAGGTTAGTAGGTTTGACTTTAAGTCCTGTTACTGCCTTAAATACTATGGGCAGATGGTTATTGAACTGAACAATATGCTTGTGGGAGAGAAATAATGACAAAATTTAAGGATTGTAGAATAATACTGAAAATTCTGAAGTTCTTTTTGATGCTTGTGATTACTGAAGATGTACTTTAGAGCAATTTCATGGAAAAGACATGATTCTGATGTTAATTCTGTAGAATAGATATGTATACCAAATGTAATCTTTCCAATGCTATGAAGAATTTATACATGAAATTGATATGCAATAAAAACCTGTGTGCTTTTTATATGAATGCTGTTTTTTTTATTCATTGGAATGATGTACTGTAGATGTATGGGTTAATGAGGATGCCAGTTGTTTGCGAAAATGTTCAAAATTTGCAGAGGTGATATCTAGACAAACAATGGAAACTTTGAACTTTATATATGAGAAAAAAGATGCAATGCAGCTAGCATGTTTTTTTTTTACAGACATAAAATCGGTCACCAAAAAAGCAAAGGTTTACAGAACTATGTATTATCTTAATTAAATAAAATAAAACTGCTCCCCTCAAGAATAGTGAGCTTTTCATTTACTGCTGAATTATAACATTTACATATAAGTTTAGCCCTTAATAATAATGCTCTTAATAATATCAAGCAAAATCATTCTTTATATTATATGCTATTTCTCTTCATTAACGAAATAAACGAAAATGGGGCAAGAAGCTCCTTGAGGTTAACTTATGCCAGATATCATCTGATTTTTGCAGAATATATAAAATATGTCTGACATTTTAAAAGGTGTCATTAATGTAAAATACTAAATCAAATATTATTCGTATATTTTAGGCTAATAACTGGCTAATGACATCAATCAAATAACAGAAAGCCAAATAAATGCCTTTGGAATGTTATATATTTATGTTATATATATATATATATATATTTGATGAGATGTCACAATAGCAATAGAAATCAGAGTAAATTATTATATATAATAATAAATAATTAACAGTATAAGTTATAAATATTAAATTTAGTAAAGAAATTATGGCCTTCAATAATGGCCTTGTGTCTCAAAAAGGTCTAACTTTTTCCATCTGTTCACAAACTTTTACTTCACTCCATTTTAAAGACTTAGACTTATGTATTGCCATTGTAACAGAGTTACAACGAAATTCTCTATGAGAAATGTATTTAAGAGAAAACTGATTCTTATATAAAGTGTATGTAATGCTAGTAAAAGACAAGTATGACATTTCAGTGATGGTCTCAATAGCTTTGTTTGAAGAGTTCACATTTTTATTCATTTACCTCTCCCAAATATCAACCACTAGGTGTCGCCAAAATTTTGTCTTTTAGAGTTTGATACATTATTGTTGTTGTCTAAAATGAAATTTACATTTCTATGACAGAAGGTTAACTCCATTTAAAAAAATAAAAATAAAAATAAAAGTTTCCATCTATAAAACTGTAAAACACTGAGACAAACTATTACCTACCGACAGCTGTAGTCTCATGTAACGTGTTAAAAAGTATAATTACATTAGATTTTGTGATTTTAAAAACCCGTACTTGTACATAAAATAATCTTAAAGAAATAAAAGTCTACTTACACTTTCATGACTAGGTTTTAACACAAGAAAAAGTGATTTGTAATAATATCAGATTAAAAGATTTAGTTTAAAGTGCATTCAATTATTGTTTTAATAATATTTTGCCATTCTTTAAAGGGATAGTTCACCCAAATTGTCATCATTTATTACCTTCAAGATGTTTCAAACCTGTAGCCTATGAGTTTCTTTCTTCTGAACACAACAGAAGAATTTGAATATGAGTAAGTTTTCATTTTGTGGTGAACTATTCAATATACAAAACCATAAACAAGAGATTTAGATGTACTGATAACAGCATGTGTGTGGTGTAATAAGCATAAAATTGCATTTTAATACAATTGTTAAATTATTCATTTATATTTATTTTCATGTTTGTGCTTAGTCAGTGTTCGAACTATAACGTGGACTTTGGGGGAGCCCACTTGTTTGTTTTTTTATAAGGGGGGGGGGGGGGTTCGTGCGCTTGCGCGTGCCTCAAAAGGGGGCTTACAATGATTTACAAAGATACATAACAGCTACAAGTGTATGCACTACTTGCTTTATGCAAGCACTATATAGGATAGATCACTATACTGGATTTACCCTATTATACTTTATCGACACAAAATGATAGCATTAATACCATAATTCCTCCGTTCAATTAGGCCTAAGACATCGAGAGTCACGCAGACCTATAACAACCCAGCCACAACACATAATTGCGAATAACATGCCTTACCTTAACACAGAATCGACCACAGAGTCCAGCGTTTATATTTTTTCTACAAACCTTTGAGTTAACCTACTAAACATGAGTGGAATTTGCACCGCAGCGCCCCCACACCTTGATGCTCATGACAAGAATAGCATGTATAGTTATCTTTATTGAAGTGAATTAGGTTTAAATCGCCGTCATGCATGAATTAGTGATATTTTTGCAATTTTACACATAATAATCCACGATGATCACATTACACAAAACTGAAATTGCACGTCAAAATAACACATTGTCAATATTTTTTGAGACCCCCCAAAATTTCACAAATCAAGTTTTCAGGGGAGCCCATGTCTTATTAAGGGGAGCCGAGCTCCCCCTAGCTCCCCCGTAGTTCGCACCCTGGTGCTTAGCCTTAAAGGATTATCTTGGTTGATTTGAATAAATATAGGCCTATTACAATTTCGGTTTTCAATAAAAAACCTGTTCTCTTTCGTATTTACATTTATAGCAAGGCCGTTCAAGTGAAAAGGAGAATTAATATTTTCCAGAGCCAGTTCATTTTAATATATTGCAGGTGCAAACTAAAGTCGCCCTCGTTAAGCGACTATTTTAGCCTACTTAAGAAAATAAAAGTAATGTTCCTAAACCGTAAAATGTGCTAACTATACGTTAAACCTTTACTAATATGAATATAGCCTATCCTATTTAATATATTTGACTTAAGTGCTGTCATTAACAAATAAAAGCCTATCTTTAGTCCTTGATTTTAGTCCAGAAAGCTGCACGACACGTAAAACATTTATATAGATAGATAGATAGATAGAAATGGTCAGATTAGATATAGCTAGATAGATAGATAGATAGATAGATAGATAGATAGAAATGGTCAGATTAGATAGATAGATAGGTAGATAGATAGATAGAAATGGTCAGATTAGATAGATAGATAGGTAGATAGATAGATAGAAATGGTCAGATTAGATAGATAGATAGGTAGATAGATAGATAGAAATGGTCAGATTAGATAGATAGATAGGTAGATAGATAGATAGAAATGGTCAGATTAGATAGATAGATAGGTAGATAGATAGATAGAAATGGTCAGATTAGATAGATAGATAGGTAGATAGATAGATAGAAATGGTCAGATTAGATAGATAGATAGGTAGATAGATAGATAGAAATGGTCAGATTAGATAGATAGATAGGTAGATAGATAGATAGAAATGGTCAGATTAGATAGATAGATAGGTAGATAGATAGATAGAAATGGTCAGATTAGATAGATAGATAGGTAGATAGATAGATAGAAATGGTCAGATTAGATAGATAGATAGGTAGATAGATAGATAGAAATGGTCAGATTAGATAGATAGATAGGTAGATAGATAGATAGAAATGGTCAGATTAGATAGATAGATAGGTAGATAGATAGATAGAAATGGTCAGATTAGATAGATAGATAGGTAGATAGATAGATAGAAATGGTCAGATTAGATAGATAGATAGGTAGATAGATAGATAGAAATGGTCAGATTAGATAGATAGATAGGTAGATAGATAGATAGAAATGGTCAGATTAGATAGATAGATAGGTAGATAGATAGATAGAAATGGTCAGATTAGATAGATAGATAGGTAGATAGATAGATAGAAATGGTCAGATTAGATAGATAGATAGGTAGATAGATAGATAGAAATGGTCAGATTAGATAGATAGATAGGTAGATAGATAGATAGAAATGGTCAGATTAGATAGATAGATAGGTAGATAGATAGATAGAAATGGTCAGATTAGATAGATAGATAGGTAGATAGATAGATAGAAATGGTCAGATTAGATAGATAGATAGGTAGATAGATAGATAGAAATGGTCAGATTAGATAGATAGATAGGTAGATAGATAGATAGAAATGGTCAGATTAGATAGATAGATAGGTAGATAGATAGATAGAAATGGTCAGATTAGATAGATAGATAGGTAGATAGATAGATAGAAATGGTCAGATTAGATAGATAGATAGGTAGATAGATAGATAGAAATGGTCAGATTAGATAGATAGATAGGTAGATAGATAGATAGAAATGGTCAGATTAGATAGATAGATAGGTAGATAGATAGATAGAAATGGTCAGATTAGATAGATAGATAGGTAGATAGATAGATAGAAATGGTCAGATTAGATAGATAGATAGGTAGATAGATAGATAGAAATGGTCAGATTAGATAGATAGATAGGTAGATAGATAGATAGAAATGGTCAGATTAGATAGATAGATAGGTAGATAGATAGATAGAAATGGTCAGATTAGATAGATAGATAGGTAGATAGATAGATAGAAATGGTCAGATTAGATAGATAGATAGGTAGATAGATAGATAGAA